AATAATAATAATAATAATAATAATAATAATAAGATTAATAATAATAATAATAATAATAAAATTAATAATAATTTTTAATTTCTTTTTGCTTTCTCTTTAGCTTCGTAAGCGTCCATTGACGACAGCAGAATTCATTCCTTTTCTTGCTAAAATTGATCCGATTTATAGAGAAGAAGAGGAAGCATACAAAGTAAATCTATTATTAGAACTGTTTAGGTACCTTGTTACTAAAAATAGTACAACTGTATATAGTAATTTATAAATAAGGAACTTTGTTAGTTGTTACTAAAAATAGTATCTACACGTACATCTAATCTTCATTGTTCAATGATTAATACTGAGAGCCTTGTTACTGAAAATAATCTATATTATACATACATGTAATGTACATATAATTATAGTATAAATAGAACTAATAATTATTTTATACCTTTTTTGTTAATGTAGGCTTGGTTTAACAAGACTCCTCTTGGAAAGAAGAGAGCTAAAGCTATCAAAGAAGCAAAGGGAGAGGATGATGGAGGAGGAGGGAAGAAAGGGAAGGGAAAGGGGAAAGGAAAAGGGAAAAAGAAAAAGAAATAGACACAAAAATACAAAATACACTTATTAACTGTATTATTGTCTTTAATTACACATGTACATGTACAATGTACATCATGTATTGATAATGAATTCCTGATGTGTGGGCGGGTATCAATGAATCTAATTACCTTAGGGTGGGTATTAATTGAGCTCTTAAATTTTAGCGTTTTCAAGGGGACCCTGATTTAGCGAAATGTAATATTAGCGAAAATAGGAAGAAAATCAATGGCAAAACCCCTATTCAATAGCATAACACTTCCCAAGAAGCCCAATCTATAATTTAAGAGCAGAACACTTTAATAGGACCACCCTATCTACTGTTATCTTGTTACAGATCTTGCCTATCTTATGTACTTGTTTACACAAGTACATAATAACTATAGAGCGGTCGCAGTGACGTCACTTTAACGCCATAATTACTTCCGTATGATATGGCAAAAATTAATGAGCCTCATTCGTTTACAGCAGCAAAGTTGCTTCTTCTATAACTTCTTTTACACAGCACAAGGCAGAAAAGGAGTACAATTCTAGCGGTAGTAAGCAGAAAAGTAGCGATAACAATAATTACAGGAGTAACAAGGCAATGCTGTGTTAGTCTCGCCACGCCCCTTTGCTACCTGCGGAGAAAGGGTCTGGAGACACTCACGGTAAAAATGTGTGCTTCATGCAGAGAAATCCACGTCCCAATCAGATTGCTCGAACCACGTGTAGGACAAGAAGTCATGTGACCGAAGAGCTTTGGTTAAGACAAAAGAAGAAGAATGAGGACCAAATAAAGGCTGGATGGAGCCTGTAACACTCCCTGGACTTCTTGTCTCCAGACCCTTCCTCCGTAGATAGCGAAGGGGCGGGGCGAGACTAATGCTGTGTTCACTTTGGCCGCTTCACTGATTCTCTATCCGAGGACTTTTTGCTTCCTTTGCATCCCTGGGTCCAGGAAAATGAAAGAGCAGCATGAATTAGCCATGCTCATAGTTAAGGAAGCCTGCCAGAAGAGTTTATAGCGCTGTACAAATGAATGGCAAAGTAGCCATTTTGCTATGCGGAAGTAATTATGACGCACGCTGTGACGTCATATGAAACCGCTTTCTATATAATTAGCGACTGGTTGAATTTGAAGTACACTCGCTAAAAACGCTAAAATTAAGTGTCGCAATTAATACACACCCTAAGGTAACTGATCACAATTCACAAGATGTCGTTAGAGGACAAGTGTGGGACTGCGTTTAGGGATAAAGATCATGAAGAAGCTGTTCGCTTACTACCATTAGTGAAGGAAGTTAAGGAACCGAATGAAATTAAAATAGCAGGGGATGGTCTACTTCATTTGTCTTCATACAATGGCTGGTTAGATGTTACAAAAGATCTCATCGCTAAATATCACTGTGACCCACACAAAAGAGATGGTGTGGATAGGACTTGTCTTCATTGGGCTGCAGAAGGTAATCATGTTGATGTGATGAGATATCTCATTGATGAGTGTCACTGTGATCCAATGGCTGTTAACAGGTGGGGGTGGACACCTCTTCATTATGCTGCAGAAGATAATCATGTTGATGTGATGAGATATCTCATTGATGAGTGTGACTGTGATCCAATGGCTGTTGACAGCAGGGGGTGGACACCTCTTCATTATGCTGCAGGAGGTAATCAAGTAGATGTGATGAGATATCTCATTGATGAGTGTCACTGTGATCCAATGACTGTTAACGGGACTGGGGGGACACCTCTTCACGTAGCTACTAGTTGTGGCAGTTCTGCAGCTGTTGGATATTTACTATCAACTAGTAAATGTGATCCATTGGCTAAAGACAATGAGGGGAGAACACCATTTAAACTAGCTAAGGAGAGAGGTCACACTGATACTCTTTCTGTCTTGAAGAAGTTTGGTGATATAAAATCATCTCATCCAATTGATTCTTATGTTAACGTCCTCCTTGTGGGTAATCCTGGAGCTGGTAAAAGTACTCTTAGTCATGTCATCAATGACACAGCTACTGGTTCGATTGTTCTTGGTTCCTTTAGAAATGTTGGGGGGGTAGTGCCCTGTACTGCTGGCATCATTCCTTATAAACTACAACACAGGACACTGGGTAACATCATTCTTCATGATTTTGCTGGTCATTCGGAATACTACTCCAGTCACAGTGCTGTCATTGAGAATCTGTTACAAGGTTCTGGTGGTGTGTTCCTGATAGTAGTCAATATATTGGAGAAGGAACCAGTCAAACAGCTTCATCAGTGGCTAACAGTTGTGAGAAATGAAGCACACAAAGCTCTTAATCAATGCCATGTTATTGTAATAGTCAGTCATAAGGATGAGATAAGTAATCCTGTTGAAAGGAGAAGGAGAAAGGAAGAAATACAGGAGATTATTGTAAGGGAAAGGTATGATAGTGTCTTCTTAGATTGTCGTAAGCTTGGTGGGAGTGGTGTGGATTCCTTCTTTAATAAGTTGTGTAGTGCCTGTGAGTCCATTCGTAGTACAAGTGGAAGGAATTTGAGTCTTTATTGTCACATGATGTATGGTCTACTGGAGGAAAGGAAAGAGAATATACTGACCCTCTCTGATGTAATGTCTGCTGGTAAGGACAATGATGATTACTTCATACCAGATAAGAGAGAAAACGTCTTGGATGTTCTTCATTCGTTGCACTCAACTGGTTTGATCAGTGTTCTTAAAATTGAAGACAAGGTATGGGTTGTTGTGAATAAGGGTATACTACTAACTGAGGTGGATGGGATTCTCTTTGCTCCAGAGACATTCAAAGAACACGTTGACATTGCTAGCAATACTGGTATTGTTAGTGTGTCTGGTCTGACTAGACTCTTCCCTGACTATGATCCAGACATGTTAATTCGTTTTCTGAAGAACATGGAACTCTGTGAAGAAATTAATCCATCTTTCCTAAGAATGACAAACCTCCGTCAGTTAACAGTGGAAGAGGAGGAGGAGGAAGAGAGAGAAAGAGGAGGAGAAA